TGGCAGCTGCTGGTGTACCAGGGGTTGTAATAAAACAATGCTATAATCAAAAGCTATATTTCATTTAAAAAAGTAACCATTCATCTCTTTGTATATTCACATACAGGTCTGTTTAGAACTCTGTTTTCCGCTAACAGTCATCTGTATTCATTTTTCCTCTGCATGGCTTTTATATTAGCAGTATAAATGCATTATAGTATGTATGCACGATATGACATACATATTCTTGGAATTCCAGTTTATTTTTCTTAAACATAAATACAAGACAACAAAAATGTAATTTTACAAACAAATAGACAATTTGACACAGTGGTTGAACAATTCAAGCTGGAAGATGGTATAATAATTTAAGAATCCATTTAAAGGTTATTTTTCTCATCATCTAGATCGTACATTGGCCAAGCTGTATTACAGTAAAACACCATTTCCTTTGATGTTATAGGAGGGTACCCATACAGAAACCAGTTAGAATTATACCTTTTCTTTTGGGGTGAGGCCTCTACTCCCATTTCAGATACAGAGGTTAACCTTAAAGGAAACAGAAGGGACGCTTTCAGGAAATTACTTCCTGATTATCATGCCCAAATGTGCGAAAGTAGAATAAAACAAGGAGATCTCAAAAGAGAAGAAGGTGAGTGCAGGAGACATAGGGCCAAAGTTGTGTAAAACACCCCTGGGGTTTTAGCCTTTTCAATGCTACCTGATGATTCAGGTGAGCCACTGGCCCGCCTCACAACCAAGGAGGTGGCTATAGACCTAATTAGAGCCAGGTGTCAATGTAGGAAACTGGTCAGGGCTGTCTGGTTCCCCAGTTGCTACTGGCCACACGCGTTATGTGGTGGGCTTGTCAAGAGTTCCCTTCCGTGGGCCAGCCTACCCCCAAAGCAGGTCAATCCACATCACAGAAAGCCCTCAGCTTCCCTGGAGTCTGACTGTAATTCTGACTATATTACTTTTTGAAGTTTCTGAGCACAACTTTTAGAGATGTTTCCTTCCCCTGTGTGCCTCCCATGATGGTGAGTTCACAACAGATAGATCACGTCTAGACCTTGCTGTTCCTCTTGCGAGAATTTTCAGGTACCTCTTAGCTTTGGCAAGTTTCAAATCAGGAGTCCACCATGAGCTAGCAGTGAGGACCGTCTCCCTAAGCCGTGTGAGATTCTCCACTGACCCAGTGCCAGACACACCACTCCTGCACACAAGACTTCCCTTTTCAAACTGACTGAGGACTCAGACAGTGGTGGGAAGTTGATCAGGTCTCCCTTCTGGTCGTTGACCAGGTCTGACTACCTGTGAGCCCACACCCTTACCGCGGTTCAGTAGTCCAGGATTAGTCATTCCTTCACCTGCTTGGTCCCTTAGAGATGAGGATCCGCGACAAGTCTCCGTCCTAGGGGAGAAGGTCCTCACAGTGAGAAATCTTGTCAGGGCGCACTCAGTCGACAGAACTCCCGAACGAGGTTCCGCCTTGGCATCTGTTGCTCCCAGGGTGGCAACAACTCCGTGGCCAGTCCTTGGATCACCGAGAAGAGAAGTTTCCCAGCCCATGAACCAGAAATGTTATTGGAATTGCTTTGAAGGAGTCGCCAATGCCACGCGTGTTTTAACAAAGGAAGGGATTTATTGTGTCAAGACATGGCTCAACAGATTCGTATCCAGAGGATGAGCTCTGTCTTCCCTATGTGAGGAAATTTTATAGGGAATAGGGGTGCGTACATGAGTTTATTTGGGATTGGTTAAGGAGCTCTGGTAGTGTAGTGGTTACGAATCGGGCTGCGAATCGCAAGGTCAGCAGTTCGAAACTACTAGCTGTTCTGCAGGAGAAAGATGAGGCGTTCTGCTCCCGTAAAGATTTATACCCTCGGAAACCCTGTACAGGGTCGCTATGGGTCGGAACCGACTCGACGGCACTTAACAACAACAACATATGTCCATATATATGGAGGTTTGGCAGAGTGCTGTAGGATAAGGTTGGTTAAATTGCAGGTGGAAGAATTATTTAGGTCTCTTCTCCCTATTATATAAATTAGTGGTGTTTACTTGATACTGAATCATTGCCACCTCAGTGTGACCTTAGGTATGGTTTACAAGCCTAGTCTTTCCCTTGTGGAGTGACTGGTAGATTCAAACAAGTAAATTTAAGGTTAGGTTAGCAACCCAGCTCATAATCCATTATGTTTTCAGAGCTCCTCATTTGTAATATATGGTAACCAGCTTAAATAAACAAAACAAAACACAAACAAACAAAAAAAAAAAACCTAGCAAATTATTTTTGGTTTAAAATAAACAGTGATAAAGTATGCTCTTTAATTTCAGTCCTTTGACTCACCAGTCTTTCCTGAATAATGACACTAACATAATTACTTTTAATTTTTTTCTCCTGTTTTCAAGATTTCCAATTTTACTTTAAATAAACTCAAACTACCTCTGATTGGGAGTCAAAGTAACCTATGAACTTTTCAAAAACCACCTTTTCAATTATACTTCTCTCTCATATACCTTAGCTAGCTGCAGTATAAGATCTCTGGTGGTTCTGTAGAATAAACACTGGACTGCTAACCAAAAGGTAAGCAATTCAATCCCACTAGCCACTCTGAGCATAAAAAAGATGGAAACATAATGATTTACAACCTGGAACACTTAAACAAGGTCACTATGAGTCAGAATTGACTCCATGTGGTTGTTTTTGTTTATTTGTTTTTAGCCATAATATACACATCTGCTTCCTTGAAGCTGAGTTTGTGTGTGGAAAAGAGGAAGATTCCGAATGACATGAATTGGGTTGGTGCAGTGTCAGCAACAATGGATTTAAATATAACAACAATTGCAGGATGGTGCAAGACTACACAGTGTTTTGTTCTGTTGTGCATAGACGTGTTGTAAGTTGGAACTGACTCAACAGCACATATCAGCAACATTTATATATAGGGATTCCTGGTGCTATAGGATCTACACTGGAGAGTGAACCATAAGGTTGGTAGTTCAAACTTACCAGCTGTTCCTTGGAAACCCCATGCAGGTTCACTGTGAGTCGGAACTAACTCGAATGTACTTGACAATAATAATAACAATATATGTAGTGTGGTTGTTAAGTACTTTTTTGGTCTTGTTGCTCTCCTACATTTCTAACAATTTACATATTACATATTGTTATTGTTAAGTACCTTTAAGTCACGGACACTTAACCCTAACAAAACAAATATATATATATATATATATATATGTGGGTGTGTAGATAGATAGAGACAAAGATAGAGAAGAGAGAGGGAGAGAAAGAGGAACAGTCAGTGGGTTTGATCCTACAGCACCACAACAGGAGTCTCTTTCTCTCTTGTTGTTGTATATATACATATATAGAGAGTCCTGGCATGGCACCGTGGGTTAATGCATTAGACTGCAAAGTCAGCAGTTCAAGCTCACCAATCGTTCCTCAGAAACCCTATATATGGCCACTATGGCTCAGAACCCATGAGATGGCACTTAACAACAATATATATATCTCCTAAGACCAATGTTTTCAGGATAATTATATATACAGTATAGTCCTGGTGTAGCATTGCGGGTTAATGCACTGGACTGCAAGGTCACTTTGAACTGCAAGGTTGGTGGTTTAACCTTACCAGTCACTCTTCAGAAACCCAATACAGGTTCATTATAAGTCTGAAACAACTCAGTGGCACTTAACAACAACAACAGCAACATATGTAGTATATAACTTAGGCACTATATATATATTAGAAAGTGAAAGAGAGATTGTTCTGGTGTTGTACTGTAGGATAAGCACTGGATAGCTAACCACAAGATGATCGTTCAAACCCACAAGCCATTCCTCAGAAAACCTATACATGGTTGCTATGACTCAAGAACATATATATGTTTTTTTACATATTATATATGTAATTAACAACCTGCAATATGCAGATGATACAACCTTGCTTCCTGAAAGCGAAGAGGGCTTAAAACATTTACTGATAAAGATCAAAGAGCACAGCCTTTGGTATGGATTACATCTCAATGTCAAGAAAACAAAAATCCTCACAATGGACCAATAAACAACTTTCTTATCAATGGAGAAAAGATTGAAGTTGTCAAGGACTTCATTCTTCTTGAATCAACTATCAACATTCATGGAAGCAGCAGTCAAGAGATCAGACAACATATTGCATTAGGCAAATCTGCTGCACAGGAACTTTATAAAGTGTTGAAGAGCAAAGATGTCAGCTTGAGGACTAAGGCGCACCTGACCCAAGCCATGGTATTTTCAATAACCTCATATGCATGCAAAAGCTGGACAATGAATAAGGAAGATCATAGAAGAATTGATGCCTTTGAATTATGGTGTTGGAAGAGAATACTAAAAGTGCCATGGGCTGCCAAAAGAACCAATAGATCTGTTTTGGAAGAAGTGCAACCAGAGTGCTCCTTAGAGGCCAAGATGGCCAAACTTCATCTCTCATACTTTGGACATATTGTCAGGAGGGAACAGTCACTGGAGAAGGATATCATGCTTGGTAAGATGGAGGGTCAGAGAAAAAGAGGAAGACCCTCAACGAGATGGATTGGTCAGGTGGCAATCATTGATGGACTTAAATGGCAGTGGTAGTGAGGTTGGCCTGGGATCAGACATTGTTTTTCTGTGCATAGGGTCGCTATGAGTTGGTTCCGACTCAATGGCACCTAACAACTACAACAACATATGTAAATACTTTATATAAAATATATTAATTTTAGGGTCATGATAGGTATATATGTTGTTGTTGTGTGCTGTCGAGTCGGTTCCGACCCATAGCGACCCTGTACAGGGTTTCTGAGGCTGTAAATCTTTACGGGAGCAGAAAGCCTCCTCTTTCTCCTGCGGAGCGGCTGGTAATTTCGAACTCTGACCTTCAGGTTCACAGCCCGATTCATAACCACTACGCTACCAGAGCTCCTATGATATGTATATAGTGAGAGTCAAATATGACTAGTATTTTTTATGTTCTATCGTCTTTGCATTTTAGATACGATCCCAAAACAGACACATGGACTATGGTGGCTCCTTTGAGTATGCCCAGAGATGCAGTTGGGGTTTGTCTCCTTGGTGATAGATTGTATGCGGTTGGTGGCTATGATGGGCAGACATACCTCAACACAATGGAATCCTATGATCCACAAACTAATGAGTGGACACAGGTAAGATTGCCTTTAGCATAAATAATAATTTACTTTCTTATGAACAGAAGAGAGTATAGATTACAAATAAATAATAAAAATTTAATTTCTTTGAACCAAAGTGATGGGTTTACTCAATGGGGTGTTCATCTAGTAAAACATTTAATTAAATAGCATCTTTTTTATCTGTATACTTTTCTCTTATACATGGTATGATTTAGTAGAATTTGTACTAAAAAAAAAGCATTCACACATCAATGTATTTCCATTTCATTATAAATAGTGACAAGTAGTACCAAATTTTTTAAGAAAAATTATAAAAACGTCATTTATCAGTTCACAAAATCCCAACTTTAACATGGATTTTGTTCAGAAATAACTGGAACAATGAAATTGAAGTCTGCAGAAATTCACTTCTTTGCTTCTCATTTTTATTGGGCTCTATGAGATCAATTTCTATATCCTACAGAGTGATGAGGCTTTGGAATCTCTAAGTAGGAATCCACAATGCAATAAACAGAGGGTAAAATAATTGTTTGTCCATGTTGAATTGAAGAACAAATAGCAAAAGATTCTGAATATCAAATGCCTATTCCTGGGTAATCACTTGGCCAGGTAGATCAAGAAGAATGGTTTTGAGAGCTCAATTGTGATGTTAATTCCTAGAATGAACACTGCAGTTAGACACTGAGTGTTTTGCTTGAATAAAGCTGCTCCCATTCTAATCCATGAGCTGGAAGATGTTTGTTGGTCTATGAATGGGGACAGAGAAGTAAAGGACAGCACAACCAAATAATACTGAAAATCACTTTTTGTTGTGTAGCTATTATGGCCTTGGAGGTGGAGGTGTTTAGGGAATGTGACATGGAGTCCATTAGGATTTATAGCGACCCTACACAGGGTTTTGAGCCTATAAATCTTAACAGGAGCAAAAAGCCTAGTCTTTCTCCCACGGAAAGGCTGGTCGTTTCGAACTGCTGAACTTGAAGTTAGCAGTCTGACTCGTATCCACTACGCAAACAGAGCTCCTTGTTGCTTGCAATTGTTGTTGTTGTTTTTGTTAGGTTCCATAGAGTCAGTACTGACTCATAGCTATGCTGTGCACAACATAACGAAACACTGCCTGGTTCTGGCCCAACCTCACAACCGTTGCTGATCCTGAGCCCATCACTGTCACCACTGTGCCAAGCCATCTCATTGGGGGGGAGGGGGGGAGGGTCTCCTTTTTTTCTCTGATCCTCCACTTTACCAAGCACAATATACTTCTCAAGGGACTGGTCTCTCCTGATAATACATTTGAAGTATGAGAGACAAAATTTGGCCATCCTGGCTTCAAAGGAGCACTCTGGCTATACTACTCCAACACAGATAGGTTTGTTTTTGTGGCAGTCCATCGTACTTTCAGTATTCTCCTTCAACACCGTAACTCAAATGCATCAGTTCTTCTACCATCTTCCTTATTCACTTTCCAACTTTCTCATGCATATGAGGTTATTGAAAATACATTGGCTTGGGTCAGGTACACCTTAGTCCTCAAGCTGACATCTTTTCTCTTCAACCCTTTAAAGCAGTCTTGTGCAGCAGATTTGCCTAATGCAATAAGTCATTTAATTTCTTGACCATTGCTTCAATGATTCTATTCAATAAGAATAGAATAAAATTCTACCCTTCTTATATTCTATGTATCCTTATTTTTCTTCTCTTTCTAAACTCTCTCAATATTTCTTTTCTTTTTCTCCTTTGTCAGAAAGCTGAAAGTAAGATACCCTTTGAAAAAATAGAATAAATATAGTTTCTAAATGAGTGCACTGAAATTATAAAGAATTCCCTATTTAAGAAAATAATGATCACACCTCTTCATATTTCTCAATGGGTAGAGGTTCCCTTTATGATCATTGTTGTTGTTGTTAAGTGCCATCAAGTTGATTCTGACCCCTAGCGACCCTGTATAGGGTTTCCAAGGAGCAGCTGGTGAGCTTGAACCACAGACCTTGCAGTTCAAATGACTTTGCAGTCTAATGCATTAGTCCACAGCACCACACCAGGACTTCTTTATGATCATAGACATTGATAAAAGTTTATATGAGGAACCTAAACAGTGATCGATGCAAATATCCATTACAGATACTTACAGTGTTTGAATTTACGACATCATTTTCTTGATTGTGCAAATTCTGATGCTGTGTATTCAACAGCAGTTTTTAGATAGGCTGACTTTGAAGCACCAAATCTAATGTGTAATGGCCACACTAAGTCTTTACATTATGAATCTTACTCTTCACTGAAGCAACACTCTTTGACTTCAGTCTAGATGCATATATTTGGATAGGGAGGATTAATAAAATGAGAATTTAGAGACAATAAGTGGAAGTGTTTAAATACATAAATTATTAGATTTTCTGTGTTTCACTATAATTGTGAGAGAAGTATTCTTCATCTAAAGGGTAGAAAATATAAATAATAATAATAATTGTGTTTTACATAATTGCACTAAAATCTTAGAGGATATATTTTTAACTTCTTACCTTTCTGATTTCCTAGTAATTCCATGGATTATGCACTTCATGGTTGGTTTGTTATTACTGAAGAAATATTCTAGCTCAATGGTGTATATATTTTACATGTGCCACTTATACAAATGAACATTAAATAAAGTTAGTTTATAGGCATATAAATGAGGTAGCATAATATCTTTATTACATATTTATAATAACTAGCCATTATGCTTATCATTTCTCTAAAATTGAACTTAAAATAATGTATGTAGTAATAATAGGTCAAAGTCTCCTAAAAGGCATTCCCTCTCGTCTGTATTTTATTATACTCTTTTGCATCATATAGTATTTTACATACAGCAAAGTGGTATTTAAAATGTTTTACAACAACTTTATTTTAGTAATACAAGCATTTTTTTAAAAACTCTTAAATTACTTTGCAGTTGTACGCCCATATCTTTTCGCTATTTATATATTTTTAAGACTCTTGGGGGACCTTTAGCCAACACACACTAAATCCCTTTGCAAACTCTTAGGATTACAGCCAATAAGAGAATTTCCATGTTTGCTGGACCATTTCTTTTATTTTTCCAGAATGGATCCCATAAGTGGACAAATTCAGCTATCCCAAATGACTGATTACTGGAATACATTATAAAACTATTAAAATATGCAATAATTATAATTACAAAAATGAACTCCCCAGATAATTCTGATGGTTTTCTAGGACTGGAGATAATGAACAAAGATGGAACAGGTGTCAGATTTATGTCTTACCTAGCTTGTTTTAAGGAGGATGCATACATTTAAAAAAAAAATTTAACTTGATTTTGTTATTGCACATCACATTTATCAATTGCATTTAATTTGAAAAAATCCTTTTGTTGTTGTTGTGCTCCATAAGGTCGACTTAGATTCACAGAAACTCTGTATGTCAGAGTAGAATTAGCTCATAGGGTTTCCTATGTTGTGATCTTTACAGAAGCAGATCTGCAGGTCTTTTCTCCTATTAAGCAGCTGAGGAGTTCAGACTGCCAACGTTTCGTTTAGTAATAAAGTGCTTAAACCACTGTGCTACTGTTGTTGTTAAGTGCTATTGCGTTGGTTCTAACTCATAGCAACCCTGTATAAGGTTTCTGAAGAGCAGCTGTTGAGTTTGAACCATCGATCTCATGGTTAGTAGTCTAATGTTGCTCCAATAACGCCACATGAACTTTTGTGTATGCTCATGATACGCTATCATAATGCTGTCGTTCTACACCCACCACAGGCAGTAAGGAAACAAAGACTTATGTCTGACTTACCATCATGTCTCCAAACAATAACATGTTCATTGGCATAGAGTAGGAGATGCATGTTCCTTTCTCAAATAAACAAATGGAAAATTATTGCTGTAACTGTTTTCACTTCAGTTCTACCCTGGTTCAATTTATTGGCATACAATACATATGTAGAAAGTTGATAATGAATTCCAGAAGCCTGGTAATATATCTGCATCCTCAGTTGTTTTTATAGAATGTGGTTTATGGCTGATCTTTTCAGATTATCATCCACCCAGGCTGAAAGCCCTAATTCACTACAGGGAGACCAAAGACAGATATAAAAAACAAAATAAAGTAAAATATAACTATGCAGAAGAGAGGGTATACCTAGTTCAACTTTTAAGAATGTACATAAGTAGAGCAAAGTATCCCTGGTGGTGCCGTAGTATAAGCACTGGACTGTTAACCACATGGTTGGCAGTTCAAACCCACCCATCGTTGTATTGAAGAAAGATCAGGCTTTCTGTTCCCTTAAAAATTTATAGCTCTTGAAACCCTACATAAAGTCAATATGAGTCAGAAGTGACTCAGCGTCAGTGAGTTTGGTTTTGAGTCTATGTGGAATACAACAAAAATTTAAAATATGTTGCTAGGTTCTGTGGTAAGAGAGTTGGTATTTTGATGGCAATTAAGTGTATTGACTAGAAAACTCTTCCTGTCGGAAATGATACATAGGCTATAGCCATAGAGGTGGGTAAGAATTCATCAGATAAATTATGAGATTATTATAACTATGAGTTGTAAATAACTCAATTGCATTATGTAGCACATAACTTAAGGGGCAGCATTTGTAAAGAACCACACAGATCTGTCAGTGTGTAAGCACAGTACCGGTGCTTATGCTATGATGTGGACACAATGCCATTGGTGTTTTAACACCAGCAGGGTCACTCATGGCAGACAAACTTTCAGCTCATCTTCCTGACAAAGAAAAGCCTACCACAAAGCTGAAGAGACAGATTATTTTGGAAAGATAAGGCCCTAAAAGTCTAATGGATAGTAGTGGTCAGAAGATGAGGCCCTAGGGATGGGAAGCACTTAAAATATGACTGAGGAAAAGATGTCTCCTCAAAGAGTCAACCTTAATAATGTGAACTGAGCAAAGCTTTCAAAACCTTAATTTGCTGTTTAGGCAAGACTCAAAATGAGAAGAAACAACTTCAAACATCCTCCATTTATAATCAAAAAGTGGAATGTGTGAAGT